CAATTACCATTAAGCTACATGGAAAAAACATTTGAGCGTTCCCAATCTTCAAACATCATTTTGTGTGTGATTTTCAGTGATGCAATGATTGCACAAATGTATGGTTTTAATTTTTCAGGATGTTTGAGTGTCTACGATAGAAAAAATGCGAGAAGGCTTGACATACCAAATTATGATTGACTGCTTAAGTCATTCATAATTTATTATGTCCAAACTGGTTTAAGTTGGTAGAAAGACAACAGGAGTTTAATAACATCAAGATACAATGGACATATACAAAAAGTATCTCTTAATGTACAGGTCGCACCTTGAAGCAGATGAGCTTCAACGGTAAAAGATCACGTCAGGTACCACTCCCGTTAGATAAAAAACAAAACAAAAAAAACATGAAAATGACGCTACAATTTTCTCTAATGGTTATAGATATTGAACGATAGATGACAGGAACATCCTTTCTTGGGCTGATTTAGCCACGATTTTTACTGGAACATTCGAATGGCCGGATCGGAATTTGGTGTAAACAACATAAAAGTCATGAAACCATCCTGTCCTTCTACCAATGGTTCAGGTTGGTGCTGGTGGTATAGAGAATATTTTCTTGGCATACATTGGGATCGTTCGCATCAATAAAAAATCGTTTTATTGATGCAACCTACCTAAGTATTGCGTTTGTTTTGTTTTGTTTTTACGGCATATCAACATCAATATGTTATATAGTGCCGACAAGATTTTTGTTGCTGGTAATATTTTTTCAATAATGTATTACTTGTAATATTTTTTTTTTTAAATGTATTGCTAGTAATAAAACGTATCTTCATAGTGTTTTGAACCGAGTTAAGGAGTTAACTATTTGCGCATAACTGGGACCCTGACAGGTGCTACCACCCCGGGTCAAGGTGGACCTAAGAACATCAGCAATTAAGATTTGGTTCCACGCACCTCAAAGCCTCCTGATCAGAGGCCTTGACTTTGGATGTAGTTTATCGTCTTACACAAGATGCTGATGTAGTTTATCGTCATACCAAGGACACGGATGTAATTTATCGTGTTACCCAGGCACGGATGTAGTTTATCGTGTTACCCAGGACGCGGTTGTAGTTTATCGTGTTACCCAGGCGCGGAAGTAGTTTATCGTGTTACCCAGGACGCGGTTATAGTTTATCGTGTTACCCAGGCGGGATGTAGTTTATCGTGTTACCCAGGACCCGGTTGTAGTATATCGTGTTACCCAGGACTCGGATGTAGTTTATCGTCATACCAAGGACACGGATGTAATTTATCGTGTTACCCAGGCACGGATGTAGTTTATCGTGTTACCCAGGACGCGGTTGTAGTTTATCGTGTTACCCAGGCGCGGGAAGTAGTTTATCGTGTTACCCAGGACGCGGTTATAGTTTATCGTGTTACCCAGGCGGGATGTAGTTTATCGTGTTACCCAGGACCCGGTTGTAGTATATCGTGTTACCCAGGACTCGGATGTAGTTTATCGTGTTACTCAGGACTCGGATGTAGTTTATCGTGTTACCCAGGACGCGGATGTAGTTTATCGTGTTACCCAGGACGCGGATGTAGTTTATCGTGTTACCCAGGACGCGGTTATAGTTTATCGTGTTACCCAGGACGCTGTTGTAGTTTCTCGTGTTATCCAGGACGTGGTTATAGTTTATCGTGTTACCCAGGACGCGGATGTAGTTTATCGTGTTACCCAGGACGCAGTTATAGTTTATCGTGTTACCCAGGACGCAGTTATAGTTTATCGTGTTACCCAGGACGCGGTTGTAGTATATTGTGTTACCCAGGACGCGGTTGTAGTTTATCGTGTTACTCAGGACGCGAATGTAGTTTCTCGTGTTACTCAGGACGCGGATGTAGTTTATCGTAATACCAAGGTAATTTATCGTCATACCCAGGACGGGTATCGTGTCTGGCCATGTGCCTCAATTCATGTCTACTGTGCACTCAATTTCTTGTGGCCAGTTTGAGCAACGAATCGTGTCACAAATCTAAAAAAAAAAAATAATGGTATATTGGTTCATGGAATAGAGCAGATTTTTTCTGTATTAAAGTAGCCACCAAAATTACTGGATCTTAATCCTTTCGAGCACTTTTGGTCTATGGTGAAGACTCAAATTGTGGATATGATGCCAATCAAATTAGAAGAATGGTAGAATGCCATAATTCACACATGGGATCAAATTTCAAAAGATTCCTTCGAGAAGATCGTCGGAACTATTCCAAGAAGAAATAAGATGGTGCTAAAGGCAAAAGGCTTCCAATCTGGTGATTATCTTGAGCAGCATTTCTCAAGAACATGTAAGATAAGCTGTTGACTTTTCATTTAACTTCATATACGTAATATTACTAAACACACCCAATATGTTCTTGGTTAATGTAATATAGACATCCTCCTATCTAGCCTATTATGTTATTAAAAAATATAACAATCATTCGTTCTATATCTGTCTATATATCTGAGATGTGATATTATGTACACTATTTACATTGTTCGGACTATCATCCTCATCTTTGTTGCCATATTTATCACAACGATACGGCCGTTGTACGCTCCGGCCTTCTTCAGGGTTAAGTCCGACGTTCCAACCACCTGAAGAAGGCCGGTTCTGTTTACATTTATATTATAGTTATATGATATTAGTTATTTATGTTTATCTTTTACGTTTGAGTTTAGAATTTTTTGTGTGTGAATGAAAACTCCCTAAGGAAATATTATAAATGAACAGTATGAATTTTATATAGCAATACCGAAAGATTTGACAAAGAAGTATTAATTTTTCATTAAACCAGTTATTCAAAAATATATACTATGTTATATACCACGTGAACTACAATGAAAATAAAATGAGAAAGATATGGTATATAATTTTGTTTTTGCGCAGGAGTTCCTTGAGGGATGTAATTTATTTTAAGGTTCACGCAATGGTAAAAAGGTTGAGAAACACTGATCTAGTGTATACGTAATAAAGTGATCGGTGAGTAAATATACTCTCTTTTAGTGTTTAGGCGTTCAATAAAGAATTTAGTTTTAGTCTTGCAAACAAAAAGCAAAGGTTATTTCCAGTTATACTGTTATGAATTTGATGTCAGCAAACATCGAAATAAAATTCATTGATTTTTTTTTCTTAATCTTCAAACAAATAGTAGACATCCATTTATCTCGCGAGAAAAAGGCAGCGACCTGTCTGATCAATATTCAGTCTTTTGGTGGTGAAACTGGAGTGACCATTCAACAATACAGACCTGGGTAATGGTATATGGACGAAATGCCCTACCCAGACTATATTCTCGGCCATATCAGCAAGATCCAAAGGAATAGGGAACATTGCATTTATGGACGACTTGACAGCAGGAGTTGCAGGAAAGTTATCACAGTTGACATCCAACAATCTTCGCGGCACCGCTCCGGTTTTTCTGTCTGGATTTACTTCCATAGTCTTTTCCGTGTTTGGCTGTGACCAGAAGGCAGCAGTGGTTTAAAATCAGGATTTTCATTCCCTTCCTGGGATGTTGAGCTTCATCTACCCGAGGTAGCTGGTTATGAAGCGCCAGTTTTCCGCCCTCGCCGGCTTGAAGTTGGACTTTGCTGTCAGAGGTTATTTGAGACGTATGCCACAAAAGTATTTTATAGACAGGGGCAGTTTGTCCCCACTATGTCCCCGGACATGACAACAAATATTGATCATATAATACTGTACTTTTCATTGTTCTGAACTGTTTTCGTTATATATATATATATATATATATATATATATATATATATATATATATATATATATATGAATATGAAAATTTCTCCGATTTAACCAGTAGAAGACAATATTTATGAATCCTGTATTGAATTTTTGCTATCTGTGAGTAAGTTTTGTTTTCCATGTAGACAAATTTGTCGACATGGATAACAAAACTTACACACAGATAGAAAAATTCAATACAAATTCATATATATATATATATATATATATATATATATATATATATATATATATAATGAAATGAACAAAGTCCGACAATTATTTTAAGACATTTTTTATGTTTATACATTCTTTTTATAGATACAAATATTTACGTAAATGCTCTGTTTTATAATAAACAGTATTAATGACATTTACCGCCTTGTGGGACGTAATTTGTTTACATTTGGATACGCTTTGAATAGATATGAATGTACGTGAGAGATTCATGGAAGATTTTAGTTTAAAAGCAGTAAAATCGACCTTGCTAATGGAACGATCCTCCGTCAGGCTACATGAAGTTTTCGTATAGGATACAGGTTCGGTTCCTGTCGCAGGACGTATTTTTTCTAGGCCGGTAAATGTTATAAATACTGTTTATTATAAAACAGAGTATTTACTTATCTAATCATACTAATCATATTACTGTATCTATAAAAAAGAATGTATAAACATAAAATGTCTTTTATATATATATATATATATATATATATATATATATATATATATATATATATATGTGTGTGTGTGTGTTTGTGTGTGTGCATCGGCGTGTGTATCTATGTGCGGTTGTGTTCTTATATGTGTGCGTGGTTGTGCTTATGTGAGCGTATTTTAGACGTGTAGCAAGAGAATCGATCAAAAATAGTTTCTACCAAAGAGAATTCGTGAGCTCAATAAACTTTATACACAAACAGTGAGAACAAAGGAAATGTCCATCTGAATAAAGGCAACAATAATTAGAAAAATAAAAAAGAGACAAACACCCCCCACCCACCCATTTCGATATCGCGAGAGAAACGTGACTTTTCAAACATCAATGGTATTCTTAGTAGAAACAATAAGTCTTTCTGTATGGATATATTTGGAAAGGCTTGTTTACCTCAACGTGTTTGAAATTTGAAAAAAAAGTATGTGTGCATAATCGGTAGTGTCCTTATCACAGGCAACGCCAGATAAGATACAGTAAAATTATATTGAAAGTATTGGCGTTGTTATCAATTTGTAGTGGCAGTTGATCAGAAGGCTGGAATGACTTGTGGAAGATCCATATCTATCTATCGAGCTAGCTGGCTAGCTATCTCTGTTCATATCTATCTATATCTGTTCATATATATCTATGCCAGTTCATACCTATCTATGTAGGTATCTACCTGTTTGTCTATCCATCTATGCCTGTGCATATCTATCTATCTATCTATCTATCTATCTATCTATCTATCTATCTATCTATCTATCTCATTCTGTTTATATCTATCTATCTATCTATCTCATTCTGTTTCTATCTATCTATCTCATTCTGTTTCTATCTATCTATCTATCTATCTATCTCATTCTATTTATATCTATCTATCTATCTATCTATCTATCTATCTATCTATCTATCTATCTATCTCATTCTGTTTCTATCTATCTCATTCTGTTTATATCTATCTATCTATCTATCTATCTATCTATCTATCTATCTATCTATCTATCTCATTCTGTTTATATCTATCTATCTATCTATCTATCTATCTATCTATCTATCTATGTCAGTTATAGGCGTTCAAACGAAGATAAAACTCTAGAATTCAATTCCCATTTAGCCAGATATTTGTTAAGTTTTAATTTTAATGATTCTTCCAGGTTCTTTGGAGAAATCAATACATTTCTATTGTTGCAAAATTCACAATATCTATCTATCTATCTATCTATCTATCTATCTATCTATCTATCTATCTATCTATCTATCTATTTCGTCCTAAAAAGAAAATCATCTAAATTTTGCCCTTAGTAACGAAAAAGTCAGATTACGGACTCATTGACCCCGGACCATGACATACGCATTTGTTATGAGTCAATAGCAATCATTTCTACAATAAGTCATAATGTATTGGCTGATCAATGTTTATATAAAAAAAATGTAAAACTCTTTCAACACGTGTCAATGCAAATAAGAAAGACTGTTTTTAATTGTGCCTTTTCTTTTACTAGAACAAAGACCATTATAATCTATAATCATTGAGCTTCAATATATTAAAAACTTACATAGTATAAACTATTATCTGGAGGGCACATTTTCTTTATTGGTTGTGTGAAATGCGCCCGTCGGTAGACGTAATTTCTTCTTTTTTTATACACCGTATCCCCTTAAAATGCGCGTTATCATGGCTCTCTACAAAGCTCTTTGTAGCTCTTAATAAATGTTATCTTTTTGTTATCTTTCGTAAACCATCTATTCACTAATTACGTCATGCGTTGTTTTCCTCACCTTTGTGCTTTCAATCTCTCCTTGTGAGTAATATATCTTACAAGCCGTCTTTCATTATTATGTGTCCTTGAATTTTCAACTGTATCTTCCTGAATTTAAGTATAAGTTTTATTTTTGTTTCCATTTTCTTTAAATCTTCATCGTTGTACGCATAATGGGTCCATGGTATCCTCAGCAATATTTCTGTTGCTCCGTCACGTCTTCAACTTGAAAGAGATTGTCCAGTAATCACTGCCATACAGGAGGAAATCTTTTGTCTGGCAACAGAACTCTGTACCATGCCACACAAGCAGGAAAACACAATCATAGCTGTCAGACAAGTTTTGCGACCAGATCACCCCTTACAATTGGCCACTAACTCCCTAGACTTCAAATATCTTGATTATTATGTGAGGGCACGGTTTAGTGACAGACCAACAAAACTCACTGTAACACCAAAAATGAACTGCAGCCAAGAATTATGGCAGCATTCACCAACTTAATAAGGAGACCGTCTAGAAGAGATGCAGAAGATTACAAAGTCGCCTGGAAGATGTGATTGATGCCAATGGTGATTTTACTGAATAAATTTACTCTTTAGTATTTCAAGATATTTTGCGTAATTTTGGTAAAGATATGTTATGTTCAGTTTTGCATAGTTTAGACAACAATTTATCCATCGCGCTATATATATATATATATATATATATATATATATATATATATATATATATATATATATATATATATATATATATATATATATATATATATATATATATATATATATATATATATATATATATATATATATATATATATATATATATATATATATATATATATATATTGTGAATATATATATATATTGTGAATATATATATATATATATATATATATATATATATGTGTGTGTGTGTGTGTGTGTGTATGTGTGTGTGTCTGTAAAAATTCATTTATATATAAAATATATTTGTAAAGACAGCATGAATAAAAGTCAAAAGGAAAACTTTTCTTTACCAACGCCTGTCGTCCCCCGAAGGAAATTAATCAAGGTAAAGATTTTATTTTGTATCTACTTCTGTGTAAAAATGTAAGTTCAAAAATCAAGTCTCCACATTTAACTTTATAAAGTTCCTTCGGGGGACGACACGCGTTGGTAAAGAAAATTTTTTATTTTGTCTTTTATTCATTTTATTATTATTATTATTATTATTACTTTAGGCGTTATATTTTAGTAGATACGCGGGTTGGCGCAATCATCCTTTTTTTTTTAAACTGGGTGATTGAAATTGCACCATGATGTGCTATGAAATCCACAAGAGCCGAATTATCTAAACGCTTTCTGGATCAGATGGTGGATTCCTCTATAAAAGTTCGACGCAGGTTCGAATCTTACCTAAGGACACATTTTCATTACGTCTCTCAGATGCACAGGCCGGTAGATGTATTTGACGCTGTTTTTTTAAAAAAAAACATTTATTCAAAAACAAGTATCCATTAAATGGAGGCACGGTGGAGTAATATAAAGATAGCGGCTCGGATTGAGGAATCGGTGTTCGAATTCCAGTCGAATCCATTATATTCACTTACGTGCTTGAGAAAGGTATGAATCCTCTTCTTCTCAAAGCTATGGATAAATAGCAAGACAGACCGGGTTATATATCCTTGGATAGCAGAAAGGAATGGCAACGTACTGCGGAAAAAAAATTGCCTTGTCTGTCATGTATCGAAAGATACATGATCGCCTAAGTGTGTATCACGCATAACACATAATTGACTGATCCACTCAAATATAGCGTTTAAAATGCTAAAAAATAATGTATTATTAATTAATAATATCGTATTAAGTAATAATGTCGTATTAAATGATAATGTCGTATTAAATAATAAAGTCGTATTAGTTAATAATATGGTATTAAATGATAATGTCGTATTAAATAATAATATCGTATTAGATAATAACTGGATGATCCACTGAAATATAGTGTTTAAAATGCTAAAAAATAATGTATTATTAATTAATAATATCGTATTAAGTAATAATGTCGTATTAAATGATAATGTCGTATTAAATAATAATATCGTATTAAATAATAATGTATTAAATAATAATGTCGTATTAAATGATAATGTCGTATTAAATAATAATTTCGTATTGAATAATAATGTCGTATTGAATAATAATGTCGTATTAAAAGTAACAAGTATTAATTATCCTTATAATATGTATAATGAACAACATTAAAATTGTGTTCATTTTTTTTCTAGTGTTCTTGCAGTTTGTCTTTTATGATGATTAAAAGAGTGTAAAAAAACTGTGCTGGGAGATTATTGTCAAAAGTGAATTCAGACAATTCATTAGCTATTTTAACGGAGTTCGTTATTGGTGCAGTTTGCTGTGTTGATATTCTAAGCTGATTTGTATATATACAGGGAGTGCGATGGATAAACGGTCGTCTAAATGACGCAAAAATGAAAAGAAAACACTAACATCTCATTTTAATAGATATATTTACCAAAACTGTACAAAAATATTTTGAAATACTAAAGAGTAAATTTATTTAATAAAATCACTATCGGCTTCAACCACGGCCTCCTGACGACTTCGGAATCTCCTGCAATTCAGGACGATCTTGTTGTTTAAGTTGATGAATGTTGCCATAATCCTTGCCTTCAGTTCATCATCTCCTGTTACAAGAAGTTTTGTTGGTCTCTCGCTCACTTGTGCCCCACGCATAATAATCAAGTGGATAGCCGTCTAGGGGGTTGGCCAGATGTAAGGGGTGACGTGGTCGTAGAAATTGTCTGACAGCCATGACTGGGTTCCCCTGCTTGTTTGGCATGGAGTAGAGTTCTGTTGCCAGGCATAGGGTCTTCCAGCAGCCACCCTCTTGAGCAAGGGCTACACTACCTTCTCAAGACATTTAATGCAGACCTCTGTGTTGAGGCTGAGGCCCTCACCAACAAATTCGGCAGATCTTTTCTTATCAGAACGATCAGAGCGAGGAGAGAGTTTTCCGAGCTGCCGTGCCTTCGTAATCACCATTAGACTCATCCAACTCTTTCCGAATGCTCTACACTCTCCTCGAATTGACACCCAAACACACTGAAATGTTCGTATTGGAGCTCCCGGCGCGAATGCCAAGCAGTACAGCATGCCGTTTCCAAATTTCTGGCAGAGTGAATTGCGTCATGGTGTTCCTATACGGTTCAGTCGACAAATTGAAAATTGAAAATTTTTAGGCTCTCGCAAAAATCTGTTAATAAAATTAGTAATCTTTTGTAATTTGATGGATCCGACTCCCGTTTTAGTAACAACGCTCACTATAGATAGATAGATAGATAGATATATAGATATGAACAGACTAAGGAAGATTGAAACAGACTGACCCAGAGTAGCACTACTTCTTCAGTTCACTTGATGTAAGCCTCCGTGTTGAGTCTGATGGTTGCACCAACAAATTCGGGAGTACTTTTCTTATCAGAACGATGAGAGTGAGCTTTATTAGCTGCCGTACCTTCGTAATCACCATTAGACTCATCCAACTCTTACTGAATGTTCTACACTCTGAAATATTCAGCATGCCGTTTCCAAATTTCTGGCGGAGTGAATTGATGCTCTTTTTCTCACAGACGTTTCCCAACTGACCCTACTATACTGTGTAGTCGACAAAATCAAAAACAAACAACGCGCATGCGTGATATAAAAAAGTAGAAAATGGCGACAATCTACCCACTGCACTCTGTCCTTTTCCTGTTTAGAATTACTACTGTAAACATAGAAAGCAACACTGAATAGTGACTATATTGAAACTTTCATATTTGAGTAGATGTTCTATTTATTTTCATTTACTGGACTGAATATTGGTGATATCATATTAGAAAAATATGTGTTTTCCTGTAGGATTCGAACCTGCGTCGTCCTAAGGAAGCCGTCATTAGATATGACGTTCTTTTGACCTCACCGCCACGTAAAACATATCGGCCCAAGCCAAGCCAAGCCCGAATATTGTTTTTAAACGCAGACTCTGCTTAGTTTTATATACTAACTTAAACAAAATCAATTTTTAAAAAAATCAGTTTATCAATTTGGCATATTTATTGATTAAACTATATATATGCTCAGGTACTTAGTGGAAAATGCTCTATATTAGTGACAGATATTCAGTTGTATGTATATTAGTTTGTGACTTTGGGTTTCACGCTTTGGTGATTATCAGACAAACTGAATTAATTTTTAAAAATGGATCTATTTATGCTTGTTTGCGTTTGATTATGTTTGGTTGTGGGAGGGGGAATTTTCTTCTGTGTTTGTTTGGTATGACACTATTGATGATCGCAAAAGCATGAAAAAAACTAATATCCATGCAACTTTATATATATATATATATATATATATATAGAGAGAGAGAGAGAGAGATGAGGGTTGATCAAAAAGTGTCGGGATTGCTGCTATGAAAATAAATTACATATCAATTCGACATTTGAACTCTTTCGAAGTAGTCACCTTGGATGTTCTCGACGTCTTGAAATCTTGTTTC